CAGTGGCCACCAGTTCCAGCGCTGGGATCAGGGTGTAGATACTGGATTTCAAAAGTAGATGATGTTTTTTCCCTGCACAAGCTATCACAAGTTGTTCCTCTCCCCTGCAAATGCTGCTTTCAAAACTGGACAGTGGATGCAAAGGCTCAGCTTGGCCTGATTTGGGACCAGCTCTAACTTAACTTTAAAGCCTACCCAGCCTAAAGCTCCTGTTGCTGAGCTCAGAGCTTCTCCTTACAGCCTGTGGCAGCACCAAACAAGCAGGAGTGAGAAATACAACAGTGAGTGACTCATTGTGCCCAGCCTAGGGTGAAAAACCTCTGCCTCTTCACAGATCCCTATCCACACAGGAGTACTGCCAGGAGCATTTTCATTGAAAAAAAAAMCAGGAATCATTGCTCTGAAGGGGCTGAAAGTCAGTCAAATAATAAAGATCTTTTAGAAAACTGAAGTTCCTCTGYATCTTTGATATTAAATACTCTCAGTAAAGAAATCAAATCACCTCCCTGCTATGGAAGAATCACCTCTGTAGCTTAATCTAGTTTTAATGGGCTAGTGCAAAACTGGAAAATCAGGAATGATTACTTCAGGAACTGCATCCTTCATAATTAAAGGAAAGCCCACACAGCTGGGAAGTACCAATGTGAAGTTTCTTTCAAAGCTCTGTTTCTTGGATCCTGGATATATTCACTGAAAAAGCCCTCATATTTTTAATGCTATTAAAGCAAAGAAAAAAGGGGCAAATTTGGGTTTTACAAAAGCTATGTGGCCCCATTTTGCAAAACAAATTCAGGAGCTCCTTTGAAGTGGAATTTCTGGCTCCTGCAGTCAGAGGATTTAATAAAAAGAAAGTGAGCCAAAGCTTTGATTGTATTCTCTTCACAAAAGCTCTTGCTTGCAAAAACTGCATTTCCAAAGCCTGGACTAAGAGAAGGTGATATCCAAGTTTGCAGGGTGTATTAGGGGGATTTCCTTTCCTTATTTACTGAATAAATTATAAAACCAAATGGATCAACAACACAAACATGCAAGARAAAGTAACCTTAATTCTCCTACATCACATTAGTGTACTCAGTGTGGCTCCAGAAGTGTAACAGGGAAAGACTGAAATCAGTAAGAAGAGCATAATTCTCCTATTCCCCTCATAATTTGACAGAACTGGTAAAGCTGGTGCMGTGACTTTTGGGAAAAATCAAGTCTCAGATATCAAAACAGATAGCAAAGCTGTTCCAGGCTGTTCATCCTCAATATGAAACAAAAGTGGTTCAAAAGAGCAAATAAAAATCAGATCGACTGACACAGACTTTGGTTTTGCTCAAGACTCAGCAATATTTCCAAGAGTTAAAACACAARTTTTAGCTGCAGATCTGTGTTCCACTACAGACAATCTTTTTGACATTGTGTGAAGAATCTCCACTACAACCATGAAACAGGTGAACAAAGATGGGTCCTGCACATTGAACTGTGGTTTGTGGAGGAAAGGAATGAAGAAGGACACTGGATTGATGCTGCCACCTCTTTGCRTCTTGTCCTTTCTCACCCTGTTTTTCCAACTTCACATTTATTCCCTGGCTTGTACAAATTTCAACTGTAAACACTTCAAGTGTCTCATTACAGGGCAATTACAGCATTTTGCTTCTTTTACATGTTCTTTCACATTACCTTGTAACTTGGGTACTATATTGAGCAGGCTAAAAYAGCACTTGGAATAAATATGAATTAAGGTGGCAAGTGAGTTCTTAYTTTTCCCTGTTCTCTGGCAGGAAATATTTTTTTTTTTAAAAAGTGAATCGGACTTCTTCGAAATAATTGATTTTCTAGGTGAAAGTCACCGTGCTCACTCTACTTAAAGGTAAATTATTTTTGAGCAGCTAAAATGATTTTCGGTGACGGCAGGCTGCTGAAGAAAGTGAAATACAGTTCTCTCACTGCACAATTGCAGCACAAACTATGGCCACTTTAAAGCTTTTAAAATTCTTAAYGTGAACAGAGTGGTATAAAGAGTGATGAAATAACTCAAATAACTGCAATAATTTTGAGATAAAAAGTAGCTGTTGGAAAAAAAAAATGAAACCCTATCCAAGCTAGAGGTTCTTAATAAATGCTTAATTCATAAAAATTTGAACAAACCTAAAGGAACAACACTTGCTGCTTTGAGAACTTTGTAACACTTACCAGAATTTAAAGAAAACTTTTTTCAATTATGAGAGTTTTCTTCAAATTTTTACTACTGGGRAAACACAGAAAAAGGATCATTTCTTTTCCGCTTATCAAAGCTTTCTTGAAATACAAACTTGAAGTCTAGCTTAAAATGCTAAGCTATATAATGGAGATTTTAGCAGAGTTGTGTCAGTTATTTAAAGTGAGAGTTAAGGCAGGGAAGAGTCGAGCAGTGCAGGGTACACAGAGGTCAGGACAAGAACATCAGGGGGAGCACCAAAGTGCCCCAGAACAAGTGGAGGCAGCAGAACAGTGAGAASCAGAGAGAGCCTGAGGCTGGAGAGGCTCTTGGCTTTTTCCACCTTCGGGGGATGACTCAAGGTTTTAAAGAGGAAGGCAGGAAAGGGACTGGATTGGTGCATTTGCACTCTGGAAAACTCCACAGCTTCCTGAAGCAGAATCTCCAGCCATGGCGTGCACCAGGCACTCACACTTGGCTGTTTATGATGATCTCCACACCACCCTGAGCCAGCAGCTGAACCAAGAGTGCTGTGCATCCCTGCTGCCAGCTCTGCTTTGTTAAMCCCTCGGTGCAGCTTAACCTGCCCAGACATTCCCCACTCACAAAGCCAACCAGAGGAGCAGCCAGAATGGAACTGCTCTTTCATTCATTTCAGCCACTTTGACATTGTTTTCATGTCCTAACAAATGCAAGGGAAATTTTCAGCTAAATGTGAGCCAGCACAGCTTCTTTGTCAGCAGCAGCACCCCAGCTGAAGGGCTGAGCTCGGAAAGTAGTGAAAACCAGAGATGTATTGCAACGACATGATTTGGGTTCTTCCATCTGATTACTATGAAATAACCCTTTCTGGCTGCTTGTTAAGCAGCTGTGAAGTGTGTTATTTATAGCACGAGCTTCTTCAGAGCTTCAAAAGATAAGTGTTATAAAAAAAAAAACAACCCCAAACCTCTGTAAACCAAATTTCTTAAAAGTATTTTACAGAAAGAAAATTAGAACTAGCTTTTTCAAGCAACTTAAATTCAAGGTTTTTTTCTCTAACATAATCATGTCTGTATAATTAGTTAACACTTATTCCTGTTCAGAGAATTTCCTTCCTTCCAGTTCAGAAAGAAGTGCTCTTACAAGCACTTAATAGGATAATGGTACAAGAAGTAGAAAAGCAAAGCTACTACTGTAACCTACATTGCCTTTTTTTTTAACAAAAAGCAGTTCTCACAGGTTGGAATACTTAGTGACARCATATAAAATGTCACTAATGCTATTCCATTCTTTATCTGAAGAGTATCCTAAGAGTTACTCTACTCTTCCCTTACAAAACAATGTTAGAGACCAGCACATGCTGACAATTCAGAACATAGTCTGATGTAAGGAGAGTGCAAAAACCCCAACAAAACATACCAGGGCAAGAAAAATGGAAAGAAAAAGGAACTCTTACCTTYACAATGTTGCAGGCAAAGAGACCATAAGCATATTAGCAGGGAAGAGGCATCACACTCACTACTGTGACCGAGGTAAACACGCCCTATCTCCAGAACCTTTTCAAATTCTTCTGAGACCCACCCAGCAAAGCTGCACTTCAAGATTTCTGACTGAAGGCAATCCTGATGTCATCCACATCACTGCGTGAAACTCGGGAGCCGTAATGCCAGTGCCTTCCCTGCTCGTTTCAACACAGCAGATGAAGAAATGTTTGAAGTCACGTGGCTTTTGTTGCACGATGAGAATTTGTCTCACCTTGTATTGCTCCACACACACACACGGGAGGATGCTGAGCCTGCTGAGGGTGCAGAAAAGGGAACACCAAACACATCCCTTCACTCTGACAGGTTTTAGATGAAATGKGGGGTTTTAAATAGTTACAAAAAGGTTTCTTCTCGTATTGACCACTCTCAGCAATACTTCCAGCCTCAATCACCTGAATGTTTTCCAACAAGTGTTCCTCAGAAGATATCAAATGCAATTGCTGAAATGCCTAAAGCAGAGGGAAGCACACACTGTGTGTGTGTGTGGTTAGAGATACCATATAAACATGTCTGTTTTACTTGACCTAGTGATTGTTTAATTTCTTTTCTAATTCCATGACTAAGGAACCAAGCTGAAAGTCATTCCTCAGCAGTTCTCCCCAGTTTCAAATAACAGCTTTCAGAAGYGTTGGCATTACTTTGCATTCTGGTGGACACATTAATGTTGCTGGAAAGGGAGAAGAGAACMTCACAGACGAGCCAGGAGCAGAGAACCTTTTATGAGCCTTTTCTTCCTGCTTGCAGTCAGCAAACAGCAAGCAAGGAAATGGGAACAGACTTGACAGAGTTGAGCCAAAGCYCCATCTCACCCAGCACTCTGTCAGGAGGAAGCCAAGAGCAGATGGMTATGGAAGAGCACAAGAATGGAAGAAATACAAAACAGTAACTGATAAGGCCCCCAGCTGATCAGTATTTTGGGGCTACAAGACTTCCTAAACCATAGAAGATGTCTATGAAAGTAACACTGGAGAGGGTCCCTCCCACAGGCCTTTCTTTCCATTATTCCTTTTGAATATATTGAAACTTCTACCTTGATCTATAAGCCTGCAGTGAAAGAAGATGCAACCCAGGCAATATTTGAATCCTGYTCATTTATTTTCCCCTCAAGAGAAAAGTGTGGGTTTCTTCTCCTTTTTTTTTTTAATTTTTTTTATTAGTTTTAGGTATTATATCTTGCAGCTATTGCAAGTCTTTGGTCCTTCCATAAAACTGGGGGCAGTATTCAATAACCTGATGCATCAGAGAAGTATTAAACATGAAAGCTTATTTCAGGAAAGATTATGGTTTAGCTGCTGCTTTAAATGATCTCCAAACTTTCCCACATCTGAACGAACCACTGCTGTGAACCAAACAGAAGGTTTAGGAACACTCTGCCAATTAGGAAAGCCTAGAGCAAGCTGATTCATACCTCACTCGGCCAATACTGGGCCAGGAATGGAAGAGGGAATTGGCAACAAGACCCTTCTTATGCCTAAAACCACAATCTCTTCACTGTTACATTAAATTGCAAAAAACWTGTTTGTTTGACTGGAGAAAATGTGGGGCTGCTACAAAAACAAGAAAGGGAATACATATTTTTACATCCTTTTTGAGCAGCATTTGTCAGGCTGGCACTTACCACCTACATAGGATACTATTACAAGATTAAAGATCTTACCTGGTAAATCAACAAGCTAATCATACCCCCTTGATCAAAGTGCCCACTGACCTTACAATTATCTCTGCATCTCCACACTGCTTATCCTTSAGCTGTCTTAAATTTGAATGCTGCAAAAAGCAAAACCAAAAACCACCTTAGCTCMCTGAGAAAACAAAAGTTCAAAAATCTAATTATTACTGTTCCTTACTTGTAGCATAATATCTACTCATTYATTGGACAATTAAATGTGACTAAATACAATAATATAACTAAATAATAAGAGACATGTATTTGACTCAATTATTTTACGTATCACTGGAAATTATGTCTAAGTTCTCAGTAAGAAAAATATTATAACAAAGTAAGAAAAATTAATTTCTTTCACAAAATGTCCCTCTTTATTTTCCAACCAGTTGAATACATATAATAAATCACAGTGAATCCACACAGKGGGTGTGAGTGCTCACCTGAGCTTCCAAGCAGTTACACAAGAGAGTTTATAGTATTAGTTAACTTTCTCGACAGAGAAAGCCCTCCTGGCAAATCATTGAGACTGTACTAAATCTTAAACTTCTAGAGCTGTAGTGTAGTGGAAGCTGCGGAGCAAGAATAAAAAAAGAGCCACTAAAACAATCTCAAAAACTCCTAAGGGATCCCATTGTTTTCGTACATAGAAAACCAAAAAGTCCTGGAATTAACCTGTGGAACTAAAACCAAATATTCTAAATATATTGCTTGATAGTACCTAACCATTTTTGCTAACTGGTTATCTCAATAGCAGAGTGCTAACTAAATCTCAGTYACATGTATACATAGAGGAAAAGTAGCAATCAATTTGATCTAATAATCATTTGGACTCTGAATTCTCTCTTCACCACCAGTGAAGCCCATTTCCTTGCCATCAGGAAATCCTTCAAGATTAAAGAAAAAAACCTTGGCATTTCTGTACTTTCTGCTCCWCAAGAATCAACAAAAGCCTGAAAATTAATCATTCCGAGTCCCATGTCACAATATTGTAACTCAAAAACTTGCAATCTATAGTTTAAAAGCTAAGATCTTCCTCTTCATGGGAATTCTCCTAATATGCCAGCCTTCCCTTACATAAAGGGGATGAAAAATTCTATTTTACAATCTCTCAAAAAGCTTTTTCCTCAAGATGTTTCTTCCTAGTATGACCTGGTTCATAATCCATATCCTTACAGGGAGAGGTTCACAAAGGAGAGGCTCRTCACTAATTAATTAGTAATGCCATCTGTCCTAATTGAAGACTAGACACCTGATTTTCAATGCAGCAACCATTAAAGCAATAAATATGTATCATCCATGAATGCCACTCCCAGACTAWACCAGGAAAATTTGAACACACAGGCTGAAATCTTCAAATCACTTAATTCTTTTGAAATTATTGTTTCAGAATTTGATTCCCATGAGTTTTAGCCAGAAAGAAAATTCATTACTTGGAGAATCTGGGCTTTAATAAGAAGGAAGATGACTTGGATGAAGCGGGTGARGAGAGGATGTCAGAGCAATGCTGGAAGGGTRAAGCCAGTGAAGTGAAGGACCACMCTGTCCAGCTGATCCAATCTGCCAMAGGCTTTGGGGATGCCTTAGGAAAAAAGGCTTCAGGAAAAGACATTACCTGGGAACTGCCTTCTAACCAGTTTCGCTCACACACTCAACCACCAAGGGACAGGAACACCACAATTATACTCTCTCTTTCAAATTCCAAACCCTTGGCTGTATTCCATTTCAATGCTGAACACACAGTGTATCAATAAGCCTCCTGGACAGGAATTAAGAATCATCTCATATCCAGATGAACAGAGATGTAAATGTTATTTGCTGAAGAATTCATCTGCTCACAGCTTGGTTGTGACACATTCTTTATACAAAATCTTAATCTGTTTTATCTTTAAATTATCTTTGGTGAAAAGGTTTTTCTTCTTTCCCCTCRATTTAGCATCAACTTGTCCTTTCTTGTCAAAACCCCTTTTCCAATAACCAGAAACACCAGAAAAGTCAAACATAACTGCTTATCTATATAAGGAACATTCACTAAGTTTGTTCCAATACATTTGAAAAGGCAAAATTCACGTTTTYCACTCCACCTGCCAATTCACCCAAACAACACTCCCATGACATTATCTTAAAATTCACCCAATCTTCTGGCTGCAACACTAAGAGATTTAACAATTAATCCAATCAAATCAGGGAGTTTCTTAATCCATTTCCAACAACATAGGAATAATGTAGGATTAAAAAACAAAGTTGCCTTCTTGATCCTTGAAGTTGGAAGCACTGGCTTAATGACAATATGAAAATAAACCTCAACAATTTGTAATGCTTGCATGTAAGACAATGCTGCAAATGTTGTTTGATTACATTACTGGGAGACTCTTGGAGCATCTACGTTATCCACCCACAGAAAATACAAAATGTGAGCATTTGCTTGGTGAAACTGAAAGACACTTCCTTTGATGCTTCACACCCAGCAATTCCCACTTCAGCATCAGCTCCTAATTGACAATTACAGAAAATAGTGGCATCATGCTGGTCAGTAATTTTAGCTGAGGTGAAGAAACACTCCTTTAGAGGGACCAATGCTCTGTTGAAGGTGACCAAGTACRGGATTCTCCCTTGAGGAKATAAAWAATTRTATTTTTTAAATTGGTTGAKTTTGGTAWTTGCTGCTTAATGGATCTTTGCCTAACTTTCACAGTAGCTGTAATGGTGTCAGCAGAAAGACAAAAATTTCTTGAAGAATATAAATATTATCAAGGAAGCCAAGTACTAGAGATCAATTTCTGTTCATTTCTGTTTCAGTTAAATTCCTTCACAAAAGAGCCATGAAAGGTTTGTAGTGACCACGTTACTCTAGAGCTGACAAACCCTGGAAGGTGACACTTGAAAATAAAGCTATTTSCTTTCCTGCAAGGAAAGGAATAAGGACATAGGATTTTGTCATTTGATAACAAATCTCTTTTACTTAATCAATACACACAGTTTTGCAAAATAAGACTTCAAATTATTACTCATGTTTTAATATGTGCTATTACTTCCTCCAAATGCTGAGGGCATTTGGAACTTCCTTGAAGTTCCACAAAAAAATGTTCATGTTTAACCCTCAAGAACCAGGATGAGATGGGGTGGATACTTGGACAGCTCCAGTTAGCAACTACAACTCCTGACAATTTCAAAATATGAACATGCAAACCTCCCCTATAAACTTCAGGGAAGCCAACAATCAGCAGTGCTCACTTTTGAGCTTGTGTGCACYACCTTTCTCGAACAATTGACATTTTTTTTCATATCTTCCTCCTGAAAGGACACTGCTTACAGACAAAACTCAGGTTTTGCTGTACAGGAGAAATAGGAACCAGAAATAAATATGGAAATTGTAATTCTCCATACAAGATTTTTACCATTAAATATATTTAATCCTTCCATTCTTGTAAGCCAGCAAAGAGCCAGCTGATCTATTAAAGAGCATCTCTGTCAGTTATCAGCAATCAACTCATTTACACAACAGTTAAGAAGATAATGACCKAGAAAAGATTAAATCCCTGAGATGTTTCTCAACCAAGTCCAGGTCCATGCTGCTGTTGAGCTAGTGACAGCACAAGACTGCCTGCCATCCATTCTGACACAKACCATTGGCTTCTAGCAAGGTTTCAGAGTGAACCAAGTGGCCTAAAGGSTTGGACAAAATACAGCACCAATTTACAAACTCATTAGGGCAACTGTAAGGGAAAATACACAGAAGTTACACTGTAATGACCACAGTATTTTCACTCCTACTGACACTGCTATCTCCCTGATACTGACTTCAGACACCATCCCAGACTAACTTTGGAAGAAGTTCAAACAAAGCTTATCCTAYAGTGATAAACCAGGGAACAACCAAGGCTCCCTATTCCCAGCTTTACAAGTGTRTTGTGAGTATAGAAGTTCCCAAGGTTGGTTTTCATTCTTGTATTACAGGATTAAAACTTGCACTACTAGTCTTAAAAGTAGAATGGAAAGCAGTCATAAAAATACTGGAGAAAATCCAGTTTGAAGAACCACAATTGTGGAACCACCTGAATTCAGCCATAGCTGCAATCAAGCTCTACAAGCATTCAAGTTAAAAAATGTTTTAAAAAGCACATCCTGTAAGCAACTTCTAGTGCTAACTGCTTACCTCATTAAAGCTTAATTTATTCTATTGATGTTGAAGATAAATTCTATAAAACAACTGCATAAATGGGGACTGTGAATGTTTCCAGAGGATTCCTCAGATAGAAAACTGTCTCCACACAGGGCACTGAATTGTTCTGTGTCTTGCTTGGAAATAGTACAAGAAAAGTTGACAGATGTCAATATGCAAAGGTAGGGCATATTTCTCTCCTGGTAATCACTGACCTAATCACCAAGTACTACCTTACCATTGGTGATAGGTTCTGCAGCTGAATTAATTTGCTCTAACAAATGAAATAACACCTGTGCCTAAAAACTTTGTATCATTAAAAAAACCCGACCAAAACCTAACAAACCCCAACCAGACCACTTTCTATAGTCACCAATGGATTAAAATACTAATTCTTTTGCAAGGTTCTTTTTTTTTTTTTGTGGTTGGCTTTCTCAATACAGCCAAAGAACTACTGCCCACCTTCATTTTGTGTGCAATAAAAAAAAATCTTGACTCCCATCAATTTAACTCCATCTCAGGTCATAAATGGTAAAATATCAACACATTAAGATATCTTGTTGCCACATACAAACTATATTTACCCACTTGTAAAATTAAAAYATTCTGAGAACTGAACAATATTTTACTGAGAAGGGAAACATGTGGGAATGAACACTTGTAATAATCAGCTGGGCACACAATCAGCCTCAGGTCTGTAAGAATTAAATACAATTGGACTGAAATTGGATTTGCTGTATTAAAAAATCAGGTTACAGGTTCCTACATTTCTTGCTAAATTCTACACACCATTCAGAGATGACTAAACTCTTACTTTAAAAAAGCYTATACAGTTGTAGCAATCAGTGACAAATAAGAAGACTAGGACTACCCAATATTATCTCACCATTCTACCTTTCCCACTCAGCTTATAGTTGTGTCAGAGATACCACTGCAATTTAGACACTTCCAGCTGGCAAAGAAATGCAGAACAATACCATGTGGAGTGCAAACAATGGAATTATCCAACTAAAATAGTCAGCAAAGGGTAAATTAGAAAAGGAGTGAGGATAGTGGAAAGGATTTCACTGAAATATAAGTACCTACCTACTTTGAAAATTRTGAACTTGAGAAACTCTTACTCAACCACCTCACCCGTGGCACTTCCTGTGTTTGAACTGAAAAGTTCCCAAATTGTCTGGAGCTGCATCTCTGAACACGCCCAGAGGGATTTTAGTCCTGACAGAAACGAGCAACTCAGCAGCTACAGCATAATTGAGCTCAAACATARAGAGAAGCCAGGCACGTTTCTGCCCTGGACAACTCCAAGGTTAGCTCTTAACKAAAGTAAATGCCAGCACAAATGGAAAGGTTTCTATTCCTCAACATTTTCACCCACCCCTCTACACAACAGCTGTCTTGATCTCAGGAGGAGACCAAGGTACAACAAACACCCAGAATATCTGGATCTCCTTCATGCCAGTAAAAAGGATCACCCCTTCCTACCCAAAACACAGCTGTCACCCTGAAGGAGTCAAACTGAGATTCCTTCCTGTCTGCTATTTCATACCATCCCAGTGTCCCTGGAGAGCAGTGGAATTGCCAGCTAAAGTAACCCATAAGCTACACACAGTTTGCTTTCCTTCCYGATGGCACTGATTCACCAGTTCAGRGCTAAAGACTAATCTTGAAGATGRCCACAGAGATTTGAGGGTCAGAAACGTCCTCCAGAGACTACTCATCTTAGCTCAGTAGCTATTCAAATTTAATGCTAAATAGCTACTCGAAGGCAACAGAGCACTTGTTCTCAGTCAGAACAGAGCACTTACCTTCAAGAGAAGATCCTGAAAGGAAAGCTGCTTCTCACAGCTCTGAAGAGGTCTGAGATTTCTCCAGTGCTCCTGTTGTCAGTGCTTTCCCAGTGCCTAACCCTTGGCAGATCATGAAAAGCTGCAGGTTGAACGTAGCAGCATCAGGTGCCTTCCTGCTAAGTGCACGCACTGCCTTGGATCCTGCTCTGGACTCGCTCCCCCAGGCAAASTCTCAGACACTTGCTTTTCAGGTTATTCAAATTACATCTAATAAAAGATACAATAATTTAACATCTTCAATATCCGTCTCACTGCATTGGAGTGACTTCATTTCTAATTCTCTTTCTGATTTAAGTTTATTAAGTCCTATATTTATATGAAATGCATGATGTATGCAAAAAATTCTGTTGGAATTTCACTTCTGCATTACGTAAGCTTAAATTAAAATATAATGCTCCACTGAAGTTTTCCACAGACAATACATGCATTAATTTCCCATCTACCTTTTCTTTTAATTRAAGGATTAAGCAAATCTGAAGGTCCACTTTGAGCAATACAACAATGCAGAACACACAGTATAAACAGTAAATTGGCCCCAATTGTAATATTTTATTTAGCCCAACCTCTAAGCAGTCAAGTGTTGCATTAACTTTGCCCTGTAACTACTACCAATCCAGCAAAGAATTCATAAATAGAATGACATTAACTATAATTGCAATACTTCAGGTATCATGTATTTTTTATATGCTTTCACATTAGCCCTTTATTTTAAAATTTTGAATACCTAACAACGAATCCTTATACACTGTCCATTGACATACACATCATGAATAAGCCTAGGACCCTCAGGTCACGATTATATCACTGAATGCAACTTCAGATTTTTAAGGTGTCAACCAAACCCATGTTCATTCTGCCTGAGGTTAAATGCACTGACTAGTGCAAGAGGCATGAGCTTTAGAAGTCATTAATCTCATGGAAATATCCCCTGGTTTAAAAAACCCACAAGAGCACTTTGGATTATTGTGGATTCATGGATTTACTCATCTTCTCAATGTGGCTCAGTAGTTTCAACAGAGCAGACGGATTATATGGGAAAAGATTTCTTCTCTGCAACCTAGAAATAGCTTCTTGCAGCTCTTCCAAACACTTGGTTGATTTGTAAAGCATAATTCTTAGGGGAACAACGTTATCCCAAGATGCCATACRAGTCCAACACGATGAGGTACAAGATCCCTTCGGCTGCAGAGGTGACACTTCAGACGTGTGTGGATTCTGGTCATCATCTTTGCAGCTGCAACCTATTTCCCTTCTCCTCACCTCACCCTGGTTGTTTGAAGGCACTTGTTTTGTGTTTACCGAGCACTCTTTTCCATCTGATTCCACCTCGGAGTCCTCTGAGCTGTCATAATTAACRAGGCTTTGAAGAGGACCAAGCAGGGACGCGCTATCAGTGCCCGTCAATGAGTCAGAGCAGCTCMATTCTGCAGCTTCATTATCAGCCTGCTGTGCTGTAAACACCGAGCAATCGTGAGAAGCATCCAAAGACATCAGAGTCTGTGGTTCTGCTTCACAGCCAGCATTTTGCAAACTCTCCCCAGTCACGGAGCTTTGCTTTTCTTGGTGGGAAGTGCTGTGCCTGGTATCAAAACTATTACAGACATCTACAAAATTATGCCACTCCTTACCAAGAAGCTTTAAGTACCTGACCAAGTACTCCAAAAAGCAAGTTTCTGATGAAATCAAAAAGTCTAAAAGTACTGTGGAATCAAATGCAATCTTTTCCAGRAAAAATAAAAAGATACAGTGTGGGTTATATCCACCTGCATGCACAAGGAACTTCCAGGATTCCTTCTCTTTTTGGCTTAGGTTATCCGCAGCATCACACTCTAACCTGAAAAAGGAAATAAACTCAATTCAGCAGAAGTTTGCCTTTTTTTTTTTTTTTAAAGCAGCARTATCTAGAAGATAGATTTTTGCTCTTTTTTAGTTTTGYTTAAAAGTAAGAACCAAAAAAGTTTTTATATCAGAATGAGAAAGAATGAAGGCAGGTGGGGCTGGGAGATCTGACAGACCAGAATCCAAAGCACTTAAAGCAGGCCTTAAAGGGCACTCCTTAGGAAACACTCTGCAATAAACAAAGTTAGTTACAACATATGAACTGTGCTTTAACATAAATATGAAATAATCCTATTTTAATATTTTTGTAAAACTGAACTCAAACTGACTTTCAAAATGTTAAGCACGTTGGAAGAGGAACCTGCTTGTATTTAAGTGTCCAACAGTTGTGTGTTTCTGAGACATTACTTGCACTATCTTCTCATTTGAAGCTTGAGGGTCTTGTATAAATTAGGATAATATCTTGTATGGTCATTTAAACAACAATGAAGTATTGTGCGTCCAGGACAAATCCATGAACAACACATTGCAGTTTTGAGTAACCATTTTTACCAAGTAGCTGGAATTCCCATTGGGAATAATCCTTATAAATTCTGCCAGAAGTACCTGAATTATTGAAGTTTAATTCTAATATCACATTCTTTTCAAACCTCAGTGTTGCAAGGAAATAGTCATGCTTTTTATCTGTCTAACCACTATTTGAGATGTAAAGTCAATTATCCTGAATTACAGGATGTGATAAAGTATTTAGTAGGAAACTATTTCACAACTCTCCTGTTTCAATCCAAAAAAGACAAATTATCAGCTCTTACACCACACATTATTACATCATCCTGAGGTTTTGGGGGGTTTTAAATTATTAAAAAGTAATTTTCCTTCAAACAAAAGCAACCAATGGAACATCACGTATGTCCACATAGCCTCACTAAAGTACAATTCTTCACAGTTCTGTCAAAAAAAGTACACTAACCTATCAAATTTTAAATAGACGAGTAACAAAGCTTTAGCAGCTTCCCACATGTCATCATCTTGCTCCATGAAAACCAAGGAGAGCCATTCACAGTGATGCACAACTGGCTGAGACTGTGGGGAAGGCTTTACGTGACTCCTCCAGAACACCAGCAGCAGGGACATGGAATTCTCAAAGTCTCCTGAAGAAAAGAAATAACCATGAATCTTGCTATACATTTTTTGTTGCCAAATAACTACTTTCACCAACTGTTATGCACTGGAAACTTAAAAAATAAAGAGTGYATATTATCTCTCCTTAGCTCAACTGATTTATCACAACATCAAATTTTATAGATTCATTCTTGCTGCTTTATGTGCTGTAGCTTACTCATAAAAATAACTTTGTATTCATTAGACAGAGACTCTCTCCCTCAAGTCAAAAAACTTAAATCTTCAATACTAATGAGATACTATATGATAGTGGTACTACAGAGCAATTTTTGATGTRATACAGCACACATCCAAACAGAAAATCTTCCTGCGACATTGAAATCAATTTTATTTACAGCATTACGATGTGATTTTCCTTAATATCTGACTTTAAGGTTTGTTTCTCCTGCTAGCAGGAACATCAAATAATCTCTGTTATTAATAGTTACTCTTCAGACAGAAACTCTTCCCTATAAATCTGGAAATGACTCTCAAAATTGAAATAAATTAAAGGTAAGGCACTCTAATCCATGCTAATAAGAAGAAGATGAAATCAAGCAGCTTCCCGGAAGGGAAGTTAGCATATTAAAGCATTTAGGTGCTTGTTTTAAACACTTCCTGCAMTGTCACTAAAATAAGGAAGTACCATTCCTTTCAAATTGAAATTCCCCTTGACAGTTGGGTTGTTTGAATCTAATTAAAGAACTCATTTTTGWGTCATGAATCTGGAAAAGAAAGGAGAATGTTTTTCTTAGACAAAAAAAAWTTCATGGAGATGTCTAAAATGGATATAGCCTACATTTCTTCTTTTTACTTGTTCTTACACAATCTCAGTCTCTATCCATTTTTCAGAAGGTGGATCACAAATAGAATACTTTTTATAATTACTTAAAAATATTTAAGAATGCAACTGACATCACATAAATAACATCTCCCAAAAATCTGGAAAAAGTTTCAGAAGCTGTCTTATGTAGCTCTTCTGTGCGGATGAATTAAAAATTGATTTTAGGCTTGCTACATAGCATAGAAATATAAAAAATAAAATAATATTTACATCYAGACTCTTTACTAAGATGCCTCAATGTAACTGAAGTGCTGTAAAATTTCATCTTTGTTTTAAAAGAAATAGAAATTATTTTTGGCCATGTAATCAGTAAATATAGGAACGCCCATTCTCAGTGGTGACCAGAAACACTGCTTCTGAACTGCTTTTCCATTTTTTTTCCATGAAGGCTGTAATCCAGGGACAGCATGCAGCTTTGATCATTGAATCTGCACATTCACATTCACACAGTGTCAGATGTCCATGGGACATGGACATGGAAAAAAAGCAAGTGGGAAGATGGGATTCCAGGAAGGTCTCGCAAGCAAAAAGCCTCCCCCTGGTGCTTCCTTACAGCAAGGGAGAAGGCACTGAGTGGCTTCCAGTGTGACACAGAATCACAGCCTCTCCCATCAGGAATGTAACTTCCATGGCATTCCCAGCCATCCCAGTGCTGCCCCTGGCACAGCCCCAGYACAGCAGCCAGCTCTGCCCTTCTCCTGCCCCAGTCTAGCTCCTCATACAACAAACCACCCCAGAGGAGCAGGTATGGGAGGAATGCTCACACCTGCTAATTGAAAGCACCAGACCTGTCAGTTAGGGTGAAGAACACAGCCATTTACATAAGGAATATGTGGAGCTGCTGGAATGARTCCAGAGGAGGCCTTGGAGATGCYCCAAGTGTGGGAGCCCCTCTGCTGTGSAGCCAGGCTGGGAGAGCTGGGGGTGCTCAGCCTGCAGAAGAGAAGGCCCCTTAGAAGAGAAGGACCTTAGAACCCCTTCCAGTACCTAAAGGGGCTCTAAGAGAGCTGGAAAGGGACTTTGAACAAGGGTCTGGAGGGACAGGACAAGAGGCAATGGCTTCCCACTGCTAGAGAGGTGGGATATTGGATATTGGAAAGGAATTGTTCTCTGTCAAGGAGGTAAGGCCWTAGCACAGGGTGCCCAGARAAGCTGTGGCCACTCTGTCCCCGGAAATGTCCAGGGCCAGGTTGTACAGGGATTGGAGCAACCTGGGATGGTGGAAAGTGTCTCTATCCATGGCAGGGAGCTGGAACTAGATGATCTTTAGAGCGCCTTCCAACCCAAGTCTTTCTGTGATTCTATGGTAAGTCCAATAATTTCCCTATGCCTTACTTTGGAGCTTCCTTATTTTTATTTACCTTTCTATACCACAGCTGGTTTTGCCTCATTACATTACTTGTCTGACAGCAATGCCTTGCACTTTCAATAAAATAAATGCAAAATGGTACCTAAAGTTCTACCTCCACCTTAGAAAAGAGTGTTACGTGCAGYTCCTTTCAGTTCCCCACCCTGAACAGAGTAGATGCTTGTGCTATGGACTCTCTTTTATTCCAGCTGGACAAGAGCATGGTGTTCCCAAGCTGGCTTAATGKTCTTAATAGGAAAAATTTTCAATCCCAAATGCAGCTGTTTCAAGCCCAAAATATCGCAGGGCCAAGGATTTGATAAAATGCTAGGAGACAACTAATTAGACAAAACACAGCAACAGCAGCTTCTTCAGTGGGTCTTCTCTTTCCTCCCTCCCACCCCCACTAATTCAGCTGAAATCTATTTACAGTCTTAATGAGAAGTGACTACAAAATCTGAACACCTGAAAACTCTTGCTGCTTAATGAAGAAAACTTAAGGTGACTGTTACCTTTGATTTCTGCTTCCGTCGCCGAGTTGTGAATCTTGAATTCCAATGCTTTAAGYACAACCAGACTTAAGGCTCTGAGAACAGTTTGGTCAAAACCATCTTGAGAATCATCTCCAGGAGCAGCTTCACTACTTCCAAAGTAGCTGGACTTTCCACCAAGTGGGATCTGATTAAGCCAAGTCAAATTCACAACCTGCAGAACAGCATTACTCAGTGCAAGCATATCTTCACATAGAGATGGGGTTTGTAAGAACAGTGACCCACTTTTAGCATCTTCTCTAGATTTGTAAAGGACACATTTTTTAAGAAGCAAAATTARTTTCTTCTTGATTACATATGGAATCGATGAGTTAATGAGGTTGAGGACATAAGAAACTTTTAAAAACAAAATTCTCTGGCACCTGAGTGGGGAGTCCAGTTCAATTCTGGAAGCCAAAAGTGCTTCAAGAAGATCTATAAAACTGATCAGATTGTTTGCAGCTTCAGAATAAGGTGAAGTGTAGTGGTGACTGTCAAAATGATGGAGCAGGATGGCATTATAAAATCCCTCAAGCACCGCATCAAGAGGAGCCAACAACTTCTTCAGAACACCTATGGCAACAAGAGGCACATTAGTGGCTCGCAGTGTAACACAGATAAATCAGTAAATAAGAAGTAAATGGATGTTGTGACKACTTTCAGATGAAGTATGTTTAAASCACTATATTTGAACAGCACTTCATCAACCCGTGGATAAGGAAGGGGAACGGCGTCCTGGAGCCGCACTGCTCCCGAGGAATGGCAGGTGAGCTGCGCCCCCTGGCGGCACCCGCGTGYCGGTACCTGCTCGGGGAACACGCGCGTCCTTCAGCGTCTCCTTGATGATCCCCGTCAGAGTCCACAGGCAACCGGCCACCCGGCCATTCCCGGGAAATCCCAACACAGTGTTCAAGCTAAAGCTGAGCCACCTCACATTTAAGGCGTCCTGAGAACAATAATTCAAAAATCAATCACGTGTGCTTCAATTATTATGCAAATTACATTAAATCATAATACAATTATTTCAAATTGTTTCTACCTGTGTTTTGTCTGTGCTTACATTTGAGTCTTTTTAATGTACAATCTCTGTCCTGGGCCATTAAAGTACTGAGGTCTTTAATTACAAACATGAAGCAACACATGCATGCAATAGAAATTATCTGTACGTTCCAAAAAGGGAAAACCAAACCTCCTAATTGTCATATGACCTACCCAAAATCAGATAATGCTGCAGACAGATCAGATCTGAATTCATAATTCCCAGACAACTTGGCAAGTAATATTACAAACATAATGATGAAATACATCTATGTTCAGAGATGCTACTATGGAGACTGCAATATATATTCACTAAATATATAGCAAATTAAAAAAAAACCTCAAGTAATTGGCATATTCAAACAAGATAGAGCAAAGCATTTGATTAACTAAGAGGTTATTACTTATTTTTATCTACTGCTTCACACACCATATATCAAGAAACTGTAAAAATACTACCTAGTCTAGATAGTCTAGATCATGGCTTTTTAAAAATGCCACTATTGCAATTTTAAAGAGAAAATTTCTTGTCATCCACACCCATTTTACCTTAAAAGAGTTTCACAAAATTCCAAATTTTTATATATAAAGACATTCCACACTTCTATTACACATCACATCTCCTTGCTTTGCATACTCCAGGCTCTTCCTAACACAGCTGACAAAGTTTCTTGGAAAATACAAACACTACAAAAATTTGTCTGTAGAGTCAAATGGAACAACSTGTAGGCACAAATTCACTAAGCCATTTTTTGAACTGTGAAGTGACGCCACACTCACCTCTTCCTTCAGCTGGAAATACACAAGAGATGCTAAACWTTGTGAGGCCATGTGAGATAACAGCCGATCGTTACAACTGAGCAGAAAAATCTGGAGACAGGTAAAAAYGGAAAAAATATCTATCATTCCTTTTTTATTTTACCTCCTTTCATAAAAAAAAAAAAATCTTCCAGAAGTTGACAAAAGCTTACCAATTTTGAGTCAACTTCTGCCTCCTTCAGAAGAATAACAAGGATTTCACAGTACTTGTGTCTCATGTGGAGTTCTATTTCCTGGGACTCTGCTTTTGCCAGCATCATCTTGAACAAGGTTAACTGGAGCAGCATCACCTCTCGTGGGCAGAACAAGGAGCTCATGTTTGCAAAGCTGTGGGATAAATCATCTGCTGCAGGGACAGCACCTGATCTATCAGTGTCCTGGTGGCTCCCAATGCCACCAGCAGTAGATGGCAGATGCTTCTGATGACAGGATTCATCTCCTCCTGGTGGCTGTTCAACACCCAGATTCATTAAAGAGGAATAATGATGGCTTTCCCTTGCTAGGGGAATGCCTGCCAGGACATCCTTATACATCTGCTGCAGGAGAGAGATCTTCATTATGAGATCCTGCAATATTCCAGAAAACGCTGCGTGTCTTCACTGGTTATTCACTGCAAATCAGCTCCCAAGTCWTATTCATCCACTAAGAGAAACAGAAGCACCACTGGGCACTTCTGAGTTACCTATAAATAAAATATTTTGCTGTTACTGAACTTAGCAARCACTAGAAAATATAAAAGAACAACACATATTTTTAGAGTTAATACCACCATKATTAAACTTATTTTGAAAATGCAAATTCAGCTGCACAAAACTGTCTCAGCRAAACATTAAAATGAAGAATTACCATGCTGGGAAGAAGTTTACAGTTCCAGTATTAAATTACCAACACCAAAATTCATTTGCTGGAATCAACAAAACCCAAGATGACTATTAGTAGGGGCTACTTCTGAAGATACGAGAACTTGGATCAAATCTTTCTCCTCATTGCTAAAACTACTAAAACATAAATTCTTTTGTGACAGACACCTCCAAAAACAGGCATAAAAATTCAGCTGCAAATTTTCCTCTGAACTGRCAACATTCATTGCTCCTCTGAGTTTCAAACTGGCAACAGCTCTTAAAAAATTGGAAGCCAAAGGACAAGTCTTGACTTCCACTGCACACAGGCTCAAGGTGGACTGACCTCAAAGGCATAGGGATTAAGAAGCTGAAAATTAAAAAAAAATTAAAGTGTAAAACTTACTAAGAGCCAATAAAAAACATTTAAACATATTTAGGAAACGTAAAAAAAAAAAGTCTTTATGCCCACATCAATGCAAGATATCTTTCAATCACAGCGCTGGAATATTCGCTATAGCTTAAAAAGAAGAGTTATTACAAATTCAAATCTCTCCACCAAGTGTGAACACCTAAGCTCTCACAATTTTCTATCTGCTATGTAAATGGCCAGACAGATACCCCATCTTCTCAGAAAAAAACTCCCTTAGGAACATCAGGGTTTCTTTTTCATCTATATTAAGACTGAGGCACATCTAAAATATTTGTGTTTTTAGAGAAGTTTTAACATGTTCTCTAATCAGATCTCTTTTAATTAAAACCAACCAACAAACTCAATACCTGTATCTATGGTGAAGACAGGAGTGGAACTTAAGTTGCTTGTATGAATTTTCATACTTTTTTTCATACTTTGCATGTTTTTTGGATTCCCATCTCTAAGTCTGGCATAATMAGCCAGGTAGAATTCCAGACAGAATCCTGAAGCCATCCATCCATCTGTACTGGCTTTTATTTAAATACTACATTTCCCCTTTCTTAACAAATGAAGAAAACAGTTCAGTCTTCCAAACAGTAAGACATTMTAAAGATCTTCTCATCCATGTATAAATTATACCTGCATTTGTCATCAGACCAAATATTTTAAATTACTAAAGCAATGAAACTGTGCAAGTCAGTATATGAGGCATTTTTGTTCTAGCTTGTAATCTTCACAAGTGTCTAAAATAATATCAAACACTGAAAATAACACCTTCATTTGTACAACCTGATGTTTTAACTGCAACTGAAGCATGTATTGACAAAATGGCTTCCCAAAGGCACAAAGGATTAGTGGTAGACCAAGGTATGCTACCCTGACTCATCACTTCTCCCACCATCAGGAAGCATTTCCTTCAGAAAAGCAGCTAAAATTTGAAGTTGCCTGCAGGAGTGATCTACAATTCCCTCTGGTGTGGTATTTTTAAAGACACATTCAGCAAGGGCTGACCTGAAAACTCCAAAATGTTACAGCATGTTCCTCACCTGATAGAACCAAGAACCCTKCCCCCATCCTTTCCCAAACTCCGYATTTTGAATGTTAAGAATAAATCTGATACTTCAGGCCATAAATTCCCTCTTCATTTGCAGAATCTATTCAGAATTCTACTTCAGCTGGAAATTTATGACCGGAAACCTCATAAAATTTCTTCCAAAATCACTCKGAATATTTTATATAGCTATTGTTCCTACCTTTGAATTTTATTTCTTCCTAAATGAATACCTAATAAAGTAAAATTATCTCAACACATTTACTTCAGTGTTCAAGACCAACTTGAATAATCACCTTATGYGGTAAATGAACAGATCTCATGAACAAATTCATAAAATTCATAAAGCAGAAGAGATTCAGAACTTTTCTAGGACATCAGCTGCGAGATTTCACCTTCACCACATGATASTGGCTGTGTTTTCCCGGATCCTCCCATAACACATTTATGCTCCACCATTAATTTGCAGAACACTTTACAAAAGCATTTCTGAGAAACGTCTCACTCACACACGACAGTTCACAAACATAAGTCATTGAAGGAAATGAAAAGTGAGGGGGCTTATTTTGAAGACATTTACTTCAAAGAGRGAGAAAATATCAAACAAGGACTAAATTTGTTTCAGACATAGCATGAGAGTGAAAAGCTCAAAGCTGAAGAGTAAAGAAAAGCAGTGACAAACTCCAACCCTTACTTGTATTATTTATCTGAGTTATTCAYGACAGCATCTAAAAACCAATTAGGCAGTACCTCACAGAGCCAGACTCCTGCATAAACAGGAAACAGTTCTAAAAACCTTATACACAGACCGATCAGGCAAAAGACAGAAAGTAAAACTATGCACAAAGTCAGAAACTCAAATAAATGGGGTTTTCTTTTATTTTAATGATTAATAATGCTTTAAAATCAAAATCAGACTTATGCCTCTTCATTTATATCTCTGAGTTGTGTGTCATTACAAACTGTTAGTAAAAAAAAAAAAAAAAAAAAGGAAAATGTTATATCAACGATGTTAGTCCTGTCAAATTACAAAGCAATTGTTCCCTGTGAGGGTGGGGAGACCCAGAGAAGCTGTGGCTGCCCCATCCCTGAGGTGTCCAAGGCCAGGTTGGAAAACGATCCAAACCCGACCCTATTTTTATTAAACCTRATTAAACAAAATGAAACTTCAGTTCATGACTTTTGGGTGTGAATCTGAAGGCTCTCGATCTGCTTACAGTGAAATGGTCCAAGCATTTAAGAAATAAAMCACACTTTGGACTCTGTACCCGCACACTCGGGGCTGGCAGAGCGAGGACGGAGTTGACGCTTCTCCAAAGCTTCCACAGCCCCATCCTGCCGGACTGAGGGAGCTGAGGCCTCTCGCTCCTCCAGCAGAGAGCAGAGACCCCCAGCCCGCCGGACTCACCCGGTGACCCATCGTTTACCCGCCCGTTGCTCCCTCAGCCCCGGCCGGGCTCCCCCCGCTCGGCCCCTGCCCGGTTTTTCCCCTCAGCCCCGG